GTAAAGGTACGATCCCAATGATAAATGTAACTGCATTGTTTGCTTTAAATGTACCAATAAAGTTAATGAGGAAAACAATCTAAGGCCTCCGAAATGTTAGGCAAGCACTCTACCATTCAACTACACCCCCAATTTTACTTTAAGGCAGGGTCTTGCTAAGTTGTCTCAAACTTGCAACCCTCCTGCCTCAGCCTCCCAAACAGGTGGGATTACTGGCACATGACACCATATGTGGCCATCAACTGTTCTCTACTCCTACCCAGCACCTAGTCAAGTGTCTAACACATAGTGGCCATTCAATGAATATTTTCCAGGAAATGAAGAAGAACTTTCTATCTCATTTAAGTCACCGGGAAATCATTATCTGGAATTTACCCTTTTTTCGGCTCTGATTAGGCCTTGACTTTGACCACATTAATCTTACTTTAGGGAAATGAGCCTTTTAGCTGCAGAGTAGTTTAGCCATCCCCAGCCTCCACAACCACCTGTTCTTTGCCTCCACTAGAGAGGATAGAGAGCCTGGCCTGGGAAAGCTGCCACGATAAGGATGGAGTCACTTGTGTTAAATCCTAATAAAAATAAATAAATAATACTGGGGCATTACAGAAGAGGGGATCTCGAGCATGTATGCCAGGTGACAAGAACAATCACAGGCAACTTTCCAGAACCACAGCCCTGCACCAGGGCCTTGGCCACACTCCAGAGACACTTGTATAAGGACTTCTGCCCAGCAACTACCCATCCAACCTTGGCTTGTTACCTTCTTTATTATTGCCCCCCACAGCCAACGATGACTTATGCAACTGTTAAACACTCATTTCTCCTTTAAAACTGCCTTTCTAGGGGCCAGGGATTTAGCTTGGTGGTGCCACCACCTGACTCACAAGCACAAGTTCCTGAGTTCGAGCCTTGGTAACAAAAAAAAAATTTTTTTTCTCCCTTTGTCTCTTTGGCAAATGGACACACATGCACATAGTTTATTATGACACACGTATTCCTACTGCAATGCTCATTCTAATTAAATTCATCACGTGTGAGAAGCTCTCTGTCAGTTACTTAGTTTGGCACCTGAGATGTCCACCTTGACCACACCTTTGGCAATCTGTCTTATGTTTTATGTTTTTCTCAACATCTTACACCAGTAGTGACATCCCTGTGTTTTTGGTGTCAAGAGGAAACATCTCCAACAGTGGCTCCTTGTGGCACACTGCTGGACGCCTCTCTGCTGTCCCCGAGCTCAGCCAGGGGCAGGGTGGGACTTCTGACATGGTGCTTCTGTGATGAAAGTAAAGGGAGGGAAGTTTTTTAAATCTAAGCAGTGAACTGAAGGATGACTCCGGCCGTGAGCAGCATACCATTTGATTTAATTTTCTCCTTGAATTAGAAATGCCCCAAAAAAGTCTTTCAATTACTAGAAGTTTCAGTTTAGTGAAAAGATTTGGGTTGTTTTGTTTTTAGCCAAACCACATAAAATGAATGTTTCTCACCACGATCCTATCATTGGTGATACACTGGAAAGGAAGCAGCTAGTCCCAAAGGACAATCCAGATCACCTCCTTCATGCCAAGACAGAGTTGTTTTAAGAATTTGATCCACTACAAAGAAAAAAAGTTCCCAAAGAACGTGACAGAAGGAGGCTCAAGAGCTTGAGGACACATAGGAACACAAAGGCACCTGTGGTTTCCCATGGGTGTGAGCCTGGCTGTCCCCTGGGGAATGCATGTTGCTGCTGGCCCACAGATGACAAAGTGGCACGATAGAACACAGCACCCAGCAAGGACACAGGTCTGCCCCCACCTGCCACCTCAAAGCCAGCAGCAGAGATTCAGCCTCCACAAAGACAGATTTCATGGGTCCCCAAGGCCAAGACCACAGAGCAGCTCTCTCTCCTCCAGGCTCCAAGCCTCCCACAGGTTAAATGAATGCCCACTGTACACCGGACTGCTCCACAGGCAGCTGATGGCAATCCTATCAGTCACAAGCCGTGACGGGTACCACAGCATTCCTGGCTTCTGTTTAGCCATAGACATAACCTCAACCTCAGGTGCCTTAAAACCTCTCTGTGCATACTTTGTGTGTATGTGGAAGGGTAGGTACAGGGTTACTAAACCCAAGGTTTTTGCACTGAGCTACATCCCCAGCACTTAAATTTTTTTTTTTAATTACTTTGAGACAGGGTCTTGCTAAGCTGCTAAGTTGCCAAGGCTGTGCTCCAACTGCCATCCTCCTGCCTCAGCCTTCCAAAGTTCTGGGATTGTAAGTGCATGCCACTGCACCCTGCATTACACTTGCCTTTTTACAAAGAAGACGCCCAAAGCAAAGAGACCCTGCTCTGGAAGGTACCAGGTCTGAGCCTGTGGGCCATCAGAGCAGGTCTGATGGCTGCAGGTGTAACACACAGGAAGGTGCTCAGTGCGGGGCACTGACAGCGCTCATCTGGGCTGAGTCCAGTGGCCAGGTCTCCCCAGGGGACATGGTGATGTCCTAGAAGCATGTGGTAGTTACAGCTGGGGCTCATGGGTCTGGAGGCCAGAGATGCTGCTCCCAGGTCCAGGGCAACTCCCACAGCTGGGGTCTCAGCACAGACAGTCAGTAGGGTAGTCGGGGAGCAGTCTAAACACCCTCCCTCTATTCACAGAGAGGTGAGGCAGGCAGGCAGACAGCCTTCTCCCTCACCCACCTCTGGCTGCTGACAAAAACAGCATGGCCTGCTGTCACCCTCCCACAGTGAGCCTGACTGTCGTTTTTATCTCAGTGACAGAACCCAGGGCCTCTCCACATGGCATGGGCCCCAAATACCAGACCCTGGGGAACTACTGATGGCTGCTCTCCAGACAATGCCACTTCCTCACCACCTCCTTCTCCAGCACAGACTCTGTATCATGACAGTGTGGAAAGCAGGGAATCCAGCTGCATGGGAAGGGCCATGTTTAAAGAAAACTAAGCCCAAAAGTGCGTGACTATGGGTGTGCAGCCACAGCTGAGCAGTTCCTGACGTCCAGCAGGTGCAGACTTCAGCATCCCCACAGTTGTTCTCAGCGGGGTCTGCTGGGAATCCAGTGACTCAATAGCTACCAGCCCTTTCCCCTTCCCCACTCCAGCTGCAGCCCTCTAAGACAGGAACTGGCTGATGGAAACCTGAGGCTACTGAGATGGGAAGGAGAACTGGCACAAGAAGCCTCTGGGATGTGGTACCCCAGAGCCTGAAACCTGGGGCAGCTGCATTCATCTGCACACACACACATGCACACACATGAGCATACTCACAGGCCTCCCACCTTTTTGCAGAGCATATCTGACCATTCCCTTATTGGAGGAGCAGCCTCATCCCAGCCCTGGGAGAGAAGATAAAGGGAAAGGTATACCAGATCCTTGGGGTCCTGCCCAGCCTGCCCTATGGGCATCCAATGCCACCTTGATTTCCATCCTCCTGAAAACAAGAGTACTCCCCTGCCTGTGAGCATTCATTTCACTGCAGCAAGTGCCACCACAGAGCCCTAGCAGCATGCAGGCCTGCGCTGGGGCTCCCTCAGGACAAGTGGACACACAACCCCCTTGGTAGCCCAGGAGGCTCAGAATAGATGTGCCAGGACACAGTGGTGTGGCATGGCAAGGATGGGGAGTGCCCCCTCTTCCACTTAGGGCTCACAATCACTACGCAGCCACAGTGGGCAGCCCCTTGCCTCTGTACCCTTCTCCAGAGCCAGGACGTCTCTGTCTCACAGCTATTCCCACAGAGGCCTGCCAGCAAGGGGGACACTGAGCTTCACAGAGGCCATCAGGAGCACAAGATCAGCCACAGGGTTTCCCTCCCCTGTGTCCCGACTTCCCAGAGAGTGTGGGAAGGGGCTGAGAGAATGTGTGGAGCAGCCACCTCCATACCACAGACAGCTGCACTGAACTCTTTCCCAGGAAGAGGGGATTATATGTCACTATGTGCATGCATGTGTATGACCACATGCACATGCATCATGTCTGCACTGTAGGGATCATCAGGAGAGCCGGGTACAGGCCAGAGCCCTGGGGGAACTCTAAGTCAGGTCCCGACCTGCCGTCAGGTCACCTGAGCAGAACTCAGGGTCCCTTGGTGTCTGTGGGTCTGCTCACTGAGCCTGCTTTTCTATTCCTGTCCCTCAGGGCACCATCCCTGTCCTAAGCAGAGGCCTGGAAGTGGCTACCATGCACTGAAGTTTCCAGCCATACCAGGAATGGGAATAGGTGTCCAGGCAACACCTAGAGAAGGTCAGCCAGAGAGGACGTACCAGGGCCCAGGCCTGCTGGACAGGTAATGCAACCTGCTGCTACCCAACAAGTGGGTCACTTGGACTGGCCAGTTCAATAGGCTCTTTACTGGGAAGGCTTGAAAAGCCACCAGGGTTAAGAGGCTGCATACCGCGGAACTTCCTCTAGCCTTGACATGTATAAAAGAAGCAGCTCTGAGGGCAGCAAACAGAGCAAACTGCAGCATCCTGCAACCTGTATTTGACCCCTTCTGTTCCCCACAGGCCAGCAGCCACTTTGCAGGCAGACCAGGCTTTCCAAAGTTCTGCCTCACTCAGGTGACACAGCACAGTTACCTCAGGGTAGGCAATACTGAGCCTTGCAGTAACCCCATCTAGCCTGTCCTTTGCTGCCCACTTAATGGAGGAGAAAAGACTGAGCAAGAGAATAACCAAACTGCTACCTTCTACACTAAGGCAGTGCCCAGTGCCTCCATCATCTGCCTCTTTAGCATACCAGGTCTCATGGAATGAGGCACCAAGCGGACAAAAGTCCCCCTGATCACTGAAAGGCAGATCAAACCCCTGTAAACAGCAGCCTGTGGGGCAAGCAGGGTGCTTATCTGACGAGACTTGAGTGCTCTTGGTTGCTGCCAGCAATTTTGAATGATACCAACAACAGAAGAATGCCACCATAAAGACCTTGCACCCTTGCCATCCCAGCCCCTCCTGCACGTCACTGTCTGTGTGCCTCCTGAAGGGACTGCTGACACTGTCCCTCAGCATGACTTACTGAGTACTGCAGCAGAGGCAGCAACAAGCACACTTGGCTTCACTAAGCCTTTCATGGCTCTGCTATGTCATCTTGTCCTCCAGATCAGGAACCAGACCTGGTCAGGCCAGGCCCCACAGCTCCACCATTATCTCTGCCTCACATGCCATACCCCAGGGCAAAGAGGCTCTCAAGGAAGCACAGCTTCATAACCCCTTGAGGAGGCACCCGAGATGTCAGCAAGGACCAGAGGCCACTTTCCACCTAAAACACCAAGAAACCGAGCATGGAAGCTTGGTGAGCCATTACTCGTCCTCCTATGGGCAACAGGCCAAGACCACAGGCTTGAGTAAGGACAATGGCTTTTTTACAGTAAACTAAGAAAAAGTCAAATATGATCCAAAACATGCTTAAGTAATCCTTTGCTATTTGAAAAAATCACTTTTATGGCATCTATCTATTAAAACAATCAACTTCTTTCCACCTACAGAGTCAGCACTAAACACGAAGCGCTGGGCCACAGGCCACCAGGTCCTCAAGCTCAAGGGCAGGCAGAAAGGCTATAACCAGCTGCCTCCAGGTGGGGGCTCACCCAAGAATGGCCTCTGACTACCTGGGCACCCACAGACCCCTGCATACCCACACACTCAGCACAGCCCCACTGCGACACCATGCAGGTGGGAAGCCTCCTCCACTGCCTTTCCACCTAATGCCTGTCCCTGGGATTCTCACCAGGTGTGAAGGGCTCTGTGAGGCACATGTGACAATGTGGGCAATGTGTAACAAGGGTTGGGCAGTGACCTGACTTACAAGAAGGACTGACTGGGCCTAAAACACTGCAGAAGCCATTAGGAGATACAGCAGTATACCACCAGTGAGACAAAGCACTGTGTCCAAGCCAGTGACAGTACAGTGGTAGATAGGCCCACAGCAGCTCCACTCACTTCTTCCCAAGAAAACACCTGCCCAAGTGCTCCTCTGCTCCTTGCCCCCTGCTCCTGGCCACCTCCCCGTCCTTGGCCCCACCACCCCTTTCTCACCTGCTGTAAGTGTATCCACATCTTTGGCAGCCAGCTCCTCAACGTCTGACCTCTTTCTCAGCTCAAACCTCCTGGACAAACCTTCTCGGGGTTTCCATAATTCCTGGATCAAGAGGGGCTTCTCGTTGTCCCCAAACACCCGGAAGCACTGGGCTTGCCACCGCTGCCCAGGGTCCCCGGCCTGGCCCACCACATCACACAGCACATACTGGCCGGCACACGCGGGGTCCAGGGCATAGCGCTCTAGGGCTTCCTTCACCAGCTCCTGGGCGCTGGACATGCCAGTGGCCAGGACACTCTTATAGTGGGTACCCGTGCACACGCTGTCTCCAAACACCTTCAGGACCCCTGGGGCTGAAAGCTGGGTGGACAGCTCCGCAGGGTCATCTCTGGCACCCAGGCTGCATGGGGTAGAGTCCAGGTCCCGGTACTTGTGGCTCAGCGTCCGGGACAGCATGCTGGACAGCAGCTGGCCCTGTCGCTTCAGCTTGCTCTTGGTGGGCGGAGACATGACAAAGTGAGTCCCATAAAACATGGTGAGCAGGTCTTCAGGGATGAGGGCTGACGGCGATGTCAGCCACAGGATGGGGCGAGGCTGGAGCCTGGGGAACAGAGTGAGATGGGTTAGCACCAAGAGCAGAGGTGTGAGTCTCATCCAGCAGGTGCAATAGCCATTCAGTGTCCTGGCCCAGCAAATAGGTCACCTTGGCTCAGACCCCAGGAAACACCTGGGCTAGGATTGGGCTGCAGGCTGCCCAAATGAAGCAGCCTGGATGGCTGACACACCTTCAGGGAAAGCCACTACTAGGAAGCATGATGAGGTCACCTTGTCCCAGACTGTGGTTCTGGGAAGTGCAGGCCACAGTTCACAGGGAACAGAGGCTGGCAGCAGGGTACTGACAGGTACTCCTGAATCACAGTGGGAAGGGTGCTTGTCCCAGCAAGCTCACCACCTGGTACCCTGCCAGCCAGAGAAAAGGGGCAAACAAGTAGGGGTCCAGCTCATCTTTCTGTGAGTGCAAACCCATCACACACAAGTGGGCAACAAGGCATGATATATATCTCTAATCCCACACGTGGGAGGCTGAGGCAGAAGGACTGCTGTGAGTTTGAGGCCAGCCTGGGTTACACAGTGAGTTCAGGGCCAGTCTGACTATATAGTGAGGTCCTGTCTCAAATATTCAAACACACACACGCATGCGCGTGCACACACTTACACACCACACATGCAGAGCTAGGGAAATGGCAAACCACAGCCAGGAACCCCAAGAAAGTCATGCTCTCCATGACTGGACAAAAGAGATTGGTGCCAGAGTGAAGGAGATGCCTCCTGGGACAGGATGCAGCCCAGGACATACTCAAAGCCACTGTGGACACGTGGAGGCATGTCTGGAATGCATGCATTCCTCCCACCATATCCAGCCCTGCAGATTCAGTCTCACTGGGCAAGGAGGAAACAGCCCTGGGAGGCTTTGATGTACTGCAGAATCCTAATCCCAGTGCACTAAGCACCCCACAGGGATTACAGATGGAGATTATCTGTGGGTCTCCCAAGGGGGGCAGGTCAGCTGAGAACAGAGGCAGGTTCCCCAGGGGGACAGGGAGAAGCTATGCACATATCTCTAGATGACTTATCCCCTTATGTGTTCATGTTCCCCCACAGAGAAAGACAAATAAGCCAGATGAAGAGCCCATATTCTAGAAGGCTCTGCAAAGAGGGCCCGGGACCCAGTGAAGGCAACACTGGCACCTGCCACTGTGAGTCTAGCCAGCCAACTCCATTACAATCAATTTATACTCCCAGCCTCAGCTCGCTCACAGCCCTGTGGGTGCTGGAAAAGGCTCTGGAGAAAGTAGGTGGCTGCACAGGGATGCAGTGTCCAGAGAACCTCACAAAGACCTTCCACAAACCCAGCAATGCAACTATTCAGACCTCCACAGCCGATACCATGACTCAGATTTCTTCCTGCTGCCCACCTGGCTGCAGCCCTGTCCCTGGGCCTCTCACTGCCACCAAAGCAGTCATGAATGAAGCCAACCATCAGGCCACCATTCTGTTCTTAGAGCTATCTGCCTGCCACTGCCAAATACTCTGGCCAAGCCCGGCTCTTCCAAAACTTCACACACAGAAGACTAGGTTCCCAACACTAATGCTTGTCCCATTAGGTGACAGGTAAGCCTTTCATCTCATACTGGCTTTCTGCAGACTTGAATCTGTTTTCAAACAGCCAGCTGTCTCAGAGATCCTAGCTACTAGTCACAAAAGGCACCCACAAGATCTATAAGTCTCTCCTCCCCCAGGAACAGGCAACAAGTCTTCTTGTCAAATCCCAAGAACCCCAGAGCTGTCACTGGCTTCCCATCCTGGATCCCTCATTTAAGTAACAACAAAAGCATTTCAGCATCTACATTAAAACTGCCAGCTTTAAAAAAGGAGGGGGGCAGGGGGATTTAGCTCAGTGGTTGATTACCACATACACTGCCTACCTTGCATATGCAAGGTCCCAAGTTTGATCTCTTGATCCCAGTACCAAAAAAAAAAATAAAGAAAAGAAAAAAACTGCCAGCTTTGTATCAGCACATACCTACAGCTTCAGATATGTCCACAAAGGGAACCTGGGAATAGAGACCAATGCCCTGCAGGTCAGCCCTCTAGACCGCCCCTGAGGACCCTTGCTCTGAAGCCAGCACACATCCTCAAGGGAATCTAACCCACCGTAGATGCAAGGCCTAATTGGTCCTGTCCCTGAAATTCAGGGGAAATCTCCATGGACAGAGCTCCCCAGGGTCCAGAGCCAGGTCCACAGCAGATGACTGCACAGGAAGCCTTTGTCTCTAGAGATAGAGTCTGAAGGTAAATTGAAACACAATGCCTAAAGTTGCAAAGGATCAGTAGGTGGGAGGAAAGCTGTCACAAAGTCACTGGAGTATTCAAAGGCCTGAGATACAGTGGAAAGAGGATCTACAATGGGCAGCTTGCAACGGGTGATGCAGGTTTGGTAAGGTCTGACACTTCCACATTCTACTTTAATAAGAAACAAGAGGAAGAACCGGGCATGGTAGCACACGCCTGTAATCCCAGCACTTGGAAGGCTGAGGCAGGAGGATAGCTGTGAGTTCGAGACCAGCCTGGGCTACATAGTGAGTTCCAGGTCAGTCTCAACTATATAGTGAGACCCTGTCTCAACTGAAAAAACAAAACAAAACAAAACAAAAACAAGTGGAAAATTACAAATACATCACCACGATGTCCCCTCCCAGGACCTTCCAAGTGAGCGGCCATGGTGCTTGAACTACAGTAGCACCCCTCCCTCCTTTCCAGCAGCCTCTGGTACCAGATTCTGAAGAGAGTCAGGAAAACCATGCAGGGCAGGGAAACGATGTAAGTGGGAAGCTGTGACTCATTCCTCCCCAATAACTCCCTCACCCCAAGAAGTCCCTGTGAACCCTCAACCTATCTACTTCAGGGTTTTCAGGAAGCATTCTTCCACCACAGTCATCCTATGAAGAAGATGCCAGTGACCAGAGCCACCAGCACATGGGTCACCTTCTTTCCTAATCACAGAATGCAGAGCACTGCCTGTTTGTCCCAGTGGGATGAGTTTGGTTCTTAAAAGGCCAGGAAGAGCGCAGGAAAACCCCGTGGAGAAGACTACAGCCTGGATAACTGATCTGTTTTTCTGGAAGTGTGACCTGCCTTTTCCTTTTCTGTTCAATCCTCGCTCTGTCACACAAACACTTTGGGGAACGCTTCAGGCCCAGACAGCCAGGCTGCAGGGTGCTTGCTGTGGCAAATGTTCCTGTCTTGCTCTCACGAAAGAGTCCTCTTTCCGATGAAAAACAAGCTCAAGTCACAGCAGCAGGGCAGGGAGCGGTCAGTGCGGGCTGACATGGGTGGAGGGACACTGCTCCCTTCCAACAGGACAATGTGGAATCCATTATCATTCCAGCAGCAGGGAAAGAGGATCTGCAAACTTCTCACACTGCTTTATGTCCCTCTTCCCTAAATCCTAACTTTGCAGCTGCAGCCAGAACACAATTCAGTCAGGTGTCATTCTGCCTGCTGGTGTCTGGAGAGGGGAAAGTCTACCCCAGCACGACTGAAGGCTGGCTCCTCTCTGGAATGCACCAGAGGTGGCACCGGTAATCAAATTCTTTTTGGCAATTCAGATTAACCAAACACTTGACAGGCGACAGGGGCTGGGCAGGCAAGTCTGCAGCCCGCCAAGGCCCCACCCACTGGCTCCCTAGGGATAGGAGCTGGTCTGCCCTAGGGCCAGAGCTCCAGCTCCGCATCTGTCTCCCAAGACGCAGTCCCTGTCGGGGGGCTGGAAATGAGACAGAAATAGCTGGGAAACAATGCCTGTCGCGGGCGCACGAGTGGGGAACGTGCCG